GGAAATGGGCAAAGATATCTGTTGCCATGCTGGAAGGTGGATGGCAGATAACTATGAAGAAAGGAGACAAGAAAAGACTCTCATTTAATGTTTGTTTCTTACGTTGATGCAGTGATATGTGATGCTGACTGTGTATATGTGATGTTCCCACTGAATCAAAACCATTTGTACACTGATTAAGTCAAAATTTTAAACTGTAGGAACCTTGTTTTTTTCAGCCCGCCTTGTTTTTTTTTCGCCCGCTCGCATTAGATTTGAAGTCTGAGGAGGATGTCATCCATAAAATTTACTTGCTGTGGCCTAAGTACCCCGGCAAGTTTTTCAAGGGGGTCACTGCGACTGATTTATTTATTCATATTTTTCTTCCCTCTTATTTGTGATTTCTCTGCATGTGCTAAGATGTAAAATGTGCTGATATTTTCTACATGTGTCTTAAATGACTTTCCTTATAACTTTTATAGTCGTTCTCAGCACGTTTCGTGTACAAAAATCAAATTATGACTGAACGGTGAACCCACCATCACAAAATTATCGACTACGCTGAATTCGGAAACCTCTCGATTACGCTTTACGATAAATTCCAAGTGGCTACAACGCATTACGTAGAATTAAAACGGCGAATACGCTCTACGCAAAATTCTAGAGCGGTCCGTCTACGCTCTACGTAGTGTTAAAACGGCCGATTACGCTCTACGGAAAAGGGTTTGCGGGCCCCCATTCATGCCTTCGTAACCCCGTTTATTCATTCTGAACACGTACAAACCAACCCTGCTTGAAACGCAACCACTTCCCAAAGGTTACTAGCGGTCAAGGTCAAATAAAAAAGCTCATGTACAGGAGGAATAAGTAGGGCGACAACACGCCTCCTTGCGGTACCCCCGACGTGAGCAACTGCCAACTGCTGACCTTGCCGTTCACGAAGACTCTCTGCCTGCGCCCCTGTAAATAGTTGTACAACCAGGCTACCATACGTGGACTTGTGACTGTGTCGTTCACACGCTGGAGTAGTAATGAGTGGCTTACTCTATCAAAAGCCTTACTCATATCTGCGAACAAGACCTGTATTGTTCTCTGATCTCTCGAGTCAAGAGATGTCAGCCACGAGTGGACCATCCTAACGGCGGCGATGACAGTAGAGGATTGTATTATGTGTTTTGATTATATTGTAACAAACTATCCACTTCAGGGAGACTCTTGTCTTTCCCTGCATATGTATGTTTGGTGGTTGGAAAACCAATAAAGAATCAGTCAGAAGCTCGGGAAGAAAACTTGGACCCCATCCAGAGGTCGGGCCCCTTCCCGGAAATGACGTCGACGTTCGGCTGAAACGAAATTAGCCGAGGCGCCCACGAGTCGATCACTGACAGACGCAGGCGCACTCCACGTTTGTTTGCCGTCTGAACTTCAAATCTGGCAGTGTGGCAGGTATGGTGGATCAGATTATAACCTTGTGTAATTTACTACTGTCTGTTGGCAACCATTTGTATACGTGCAGACCGTGAGGATGTGAGTGAACCTGGAGTCCCCTTAAGGGGGGCCAGATTGGGGGTTTCTCATCTTAGTCAAGCGCTGAGTGTGTTTGGTCTCATAGCTGTAGGGGGGCCTGCAAGGGGGGGGGGGGTCCCGACAACGCTCTACGCTAAACAACACGGGGTACATGCCCGTAGCAATGATTTTAAATGGGGGGCAGGGGTTCTGCCCAGTTCTTGAGGGACCAGCGAGCGCCATAGGTTCCTAGGGGGGTCCGGGGGTATGCTCCCCCGGGAAATTTTGAAAAATGAAGCTTCTGAAATGGTATTTCCTGCGTTTTTGTGCCCGTTTGCGGCTTGGATTACGCTAAACGTACAATTAATCGATTACGCTTTACGGTTAATTGCGGATAGCTACAACGCATTACGTAGAATTAAAACGTCGAATTACGCTCTACTAAATGCGCCAATTACGCTCTACGTAACGTTGAATTAGAGGGTCCGTCTACGCTCTACGTAGAATTAAAACGGCCGATTACACTCTGCGGAAAAGGGCTTGCGGGCCCCCTGTAGTGTATAAAACGGAGGGGCATCTGCATGTGTTTCAGATCTGTCGGGGCGGGCGGGGGGCGTGGTCAAGTCTTTCCATCTTCCGCTCGATTTAATGTACATTACGCTTTACGTTAAATAATTTCCAAGTGGCTACAGAGCATTACGTACGCAAAAATTACTAGTATGCGCTCAGTTAATTAATTACGCTCTACGTTGAATTTGAGCGGTCCGTCTACGCTCTACGTAGAATTTAAACGGCCGATTTGACATATATATTTGCGCTCTACGAAAAAGGGCATGCGGGCCCCCCTATAACTTAGGCCACAGCAAGTAAATTTTATGGATGACATCCGCGCGTGCATTAATTTTCGCCTGATTTTGAAAAAAAACAAGAAATTGTGTTGCCTCTGACAGTGGTCAATATGCCGAAAATGGGCAAAGATGTCTGTTGCCATGCCGGAAGGTGGATGGCAGATAA